TCCAAATGAGCCGATCCGTCGAGCCTCCCTTTCCACGGTCAAACGAGACTCACAGGGGTCGGTGTCACACGGCACTATAACTCAACACTGAGAACACCTAAACCGCGAGAAACTAAGAGAAGCCTGGGCAATCTTATGTATATTTAAACGGTCCAGGTCCCAGTAGGTACGATTCGGTAGCCATTCCTTAATTATAATATCTGGATTCGGGCATGGAAGGGTCGACCATGGAGGAAAAGCCGGGGGCAGGGGAACACCAATATTTTAATGGAGAGGAGACAGCTTTTTCCCTCAAGGAACATCTTCACTGACACTGGCTGCTGGAAAATTGGGATTTATACTTCCTGTTTTCTATTAATATGGAGATGAATACAGGTGTTCCTGTGTCGTAAAATTAGTTTAGCTCTTGCAAATTGCAATTACACGTGTTGGGGGGGAGAGATGGGATGTCTTTGTGTTTTCGCGGGCAAGAGAAAATGTGAGAAAATTAGGAAAAATATCTAGATTTAAAATGAACACAATAATGTGTAATTCCATCTTCTCCCGCCCCCTCAGCCATGTCTGGCAGCTACCCATTTGTTCTGGTGGTGGCTTAACAGACTAGTGCACTTTTCTGCCCATGCAAGGAAAATAACCGGAACGTTTTGCCGTTCAAGGGTGAGGAATTGGAAAGTGCTTTTAAACCTGGATGTCCTCCTGAGGGGCTTGTGGAGGGAATTGTTTAGCAGACAATTACTGGTGAATGTACCAGCAGAGCGAGGCTGAAGAACACGGCGCGAGCGGCAGGGTTTGGCGTGTGGCTGGTGAACACCGGCGCGGCACAAGTCACTGAGGGCACGGACCGTACTTTTTTGAACCCAATGATCAACCAAATTTAATTGAATAGTTCTCTCAAGAATTGTACAACACCTCTGTTTGATAGGCTACCACTCACATGTGAATCTACCGCCGCAGCTAGTTAGCCTAGCTTAGCTTAGCATAGCATAAACACAGATGAATGAATGAACTCTAAAAATGACACATGAGTTTTTTTTAGGTGTTCTGTGCTACTGGATTGTTTACTATTAGTACTTGGTATTTGTTTTGTATCTGCCTGTTTTCAGGCCCCGGGGAAGAATGTCCCCAAAATGTCAAACTTTTTTTGTTTTTAAACAATATCCACACTATGAAACAAGGATAAAGAACAAAATGGTAAAGGAAAAGCTGAATCCGATTAGAACAATTTCCAATTTACTACCAGTCGCTGCCTGTTCACATTGTAAGTCTCTAGTGTTTATTCTTGTCACGTGACATAATCCGTATCACTGTATTTTCTGTTCCACTGTATTAGAAAACAAACGTGCTACTAATTTACAACGAGACATGCAAGCAGCAGCATTTACCTGGCTAACTTTCTCTCCACAGCCAATAGAGGCTCTGGTATTGAGGCAAGACATTAATTCATTGTGTCAACCTGTCCCCCTGGAATATTTATGATGCTAAATACATTTAATTAGGCACTGGAGCTCTGATGGGAGAGAATATGCACTGTCAGTAAAAAAAGAAAATATTTAGTTGCCTCTGATGCGGACAGGCTGGTACTGCTGCTTACTCATTTCTAATGACAGGGGGGCCAAACACACTGCAGAGGGACTTCAAATCCCTCAAAATCATTAGAGGCACATTCATTATAATATCATCATGGTACCTGAAGAGAATACGACAGACACTTATTGAGGGAGGGGATATTTCCCTGAGCAGGTTTTGGCATGCCTAAGCAGACATTATTATTGCCCCTCAGTGAGACTCTCCCACAGAATACAACATTTAATATCAAGTTAAAGTGATTGTCAAGGAAGGTGAGGAATATTTGTAAAACTGATGTTTTTTTTCATTAGACAATCCAATTAAATTTGTATTATCGTGTTTTATTTGGCGCCCATATAGGTATTTATTTAATATTTACTATACTTTGCACTGTTCTTCAAATACCACAAAAGACTGTTTTGATTCATCGGTTGACAGCTTGGAGCAAAGTGAGATATCATGCCTGTCTCTGATAAAAAAGCAAACAATACATACAGTAAATAATGACCAGTTTCCATCTTGACATCTGTCATCCTGGTGGAAATGGATGGGGAAATGACCAGCTCTCTATCGGCCGAGCTCCGGCTGTGTCACTGGCGGACTGATGCAAATGGGAGATAATATCAATGCTATACTGAATGGCATTACTTCAAATCTAATGTCATTAAATGGGTGGGTATTAGCTTTGCCGTCTGGAGGTGCTGGCTTGGGCTGCTCCGGCTTGACTGACACACAGATTAAGTGCAGTGACAGGGAGCACAATAAAGTCATCAGAGAATGTGACATGTCAGTTAGGGGGGGGGTGAAGGGATGAATTGTCACTCTCTGTCAGAGCCCATCCTCTCGCTTATCCGTGATGTCCCGTACGCCACCGTGGGAAAACACGGACAGCACGGCAGCTTCAGACAAATATTTATTCAGGTAGAGGACAAGTATACCCACTCAAGCTTTCCTGTTTACCCGCGTTTGCCAATTTGCTCCCACAAGAAGAGTAGATGATGGATTAAAAGCAAAAATGCGTCCACTTGTTTTTACAAGCCGTCAAATAAAACCTTGATCATGCGATACTTGAAACACGCCGTGGAAATGGCAAAGGACCACGATGCTCCGTTGTATTCAGGAAGTTGCTTTTTGTTATGTCTTGGCTCCAGACTAGTGCATTTCAATTAATTGGTGATATTATGGTGGTGTTGCCTTAAAAAGAGAAAATTAAATCTTAAAAGGATTTTTGTCAATATTCTTGTAGTTTTAACAGAATATGGAGTTACAAATATATCGGGCTGTTTAAGTTAATTAGTTATCAGCCAAAATATCCTTCCTCCCCTCTCTTCTGTATGAAGAACAAACCCACTGCCTACCTTTTGTGTCACGCTGCCTCAGGACCTCAGTATGGGTTTGCAGAAGGAGTATCCCCAGGATTCTACAGACTATACAATCTGACCAAAAGATGGCAATGTTGCAGTGCTGAATTCCAAATGAGTTTTCTTCCGATTGCCCCCCCCCACCTCCATCCTCCATCACAGACCGGCCACTGCCTTCCTCTGCAGCACTCTGCCTCCCAAACCAGCCCAGAAATTTGTCATCCTCACGACTGTTCTGAAGTGTAAGAGCGACGTCGCGTCTACCACTAAAGTTCCACCAGAAAAGTTGATTACATAGAGGTCGAAGGAAAGACAAAGTTTGGTGCAGTAGTTTGAGGAAAGTGGGCCACACGGCTTTGAATGCACTTCTCCTGTCATACGGTGTCTGCTGCTCGGTATCCAATTAGTGCTTTGTTCCCCAGCGGTATTTCCACTTTGTTGTTTAACGTATGAATTTATCTGAATTTAAAATGTTTTTTTTTTATTTTTCTCCTGCATAGTACTTTGTTCCGTCGAACAGAACAATTTCCTTAACAATGGACATTTTGTTCTTTACAACGACATCGCCACGTTTCCCATCCCCTCCTATATTATGTCCATACATTACGAAATTAAGTTGAGCTAGTTTAAGTGCTATTCGCGCCCAGAAGATTTTCTTTTGAGTGTATCTGAGTGGTTACGTCAGAAGGAAACAATTTCAGTGCATTTGGTGCCACCAAATAGACGCCCAGCAGGGCAGCAATTGGACAGCTATTATAGCACTAAAACACTCGACACGCCTCCGTAAATGGATTATAAAGTTATTTCCCATCCTGGAGTTAACAGAACAGGTCCGCTGAAAATATACATTCAATAAAATACGTCTTTCTTAGATGTATAAGGAGATTTATAATTTTTTTTGAAAAAAGACCAGTAATGGGAAGAAAGAACAGTTTACTTAATTAATAAATGGAAGAAAGTTGCAAAAAAAAGGAAAGGGGAATAAAAAAAACCAAGAACTTTGTACACCTGGTGGCAGAGTCTTAAGTGACACTTGTTTGCTCTGTTGTTTTGAAGCTAGCAGGAAGAGAACTCTCTCCCATGGCCACTTTGCTGGTCTTTATTATTGGCTTATTGCCTTTAAGCTGTCACCACTCAGAGCATTTCTTCTCTCGGGGGATTGTCTTCTGGGACTGGAGCGAGAGCTCGGCTGGCTGCGACTACTCAGCTCTGTTGCACACTGCTACTGTGTCATGTTGCAAATGCAATGCACTCTAATCCTGCTTATTGTCCGCTGATTTACACCCGCTGTCTGAGAGATTCCAAATATTTGTGCGGGAAAGAAATTGTACTTTTACAAAATCGACATATATTTTTAATATATTTATAACATTTCCATTTTTTTGTGACAGTATAAATCAGCTATTCCGGTTTAGAAGTGCTTTGTTCCAGAAGCATATAAATTGCATGAAACAATAGGCTGTGGATGTTTTACTGCATAAGGTCATACATGTGATGAACACAAGAGCTGAATGCCGCTCGAGCCTCCACCAGGTAGCCTCTTTGCCTTGGGCAGCTGTTGTTTATTGGTTATTGCATTAAAGAGAAAGTGTGCCAGTTAGATGTTCAAATAAAAACCTACAGACGGAGAAAAATTGTAAATATATATCTAGTTTGGGTAAAAAGAATCACAGATGTCAGTATCTTGTTTTTATTAATATATGATTTAATGAAATACTAATTTTAGAAATAAAATGATTTTCAAGCTCTTGTTTTGGAAATGTGACGAGAGGTGAGACCCGATGAGAAATAGTTGATTTGAAGTGTGTAGAAATCCCGAGATCTAGCGAGAGGGTGTGATTTTCTGCTCCCGAGCCTAATCCCACCATTCCTCCACCTCTCTTCTCTTATGCCAGTCACATTTTCTAATTAGCTCTCCCTGTGGAGGAAGAAGATGGATTATATTTTAATATCTAGGACCTAAAATTAGTTTATATTTTAGCAAGTTAGCACTTCTCAGAAGTCGATTTACTCTTGAAGCTGTAAAACTCAGTGAGCTTGCAATTAATCATTCTCTTTGGTCTTGTTCTCAAGGAAGAAGATGCTGCGGTGTCACAGGCTGGATCACAATAGGTAAACACCTAATTTTCACTATTTAGAAATCACCTCTCTGGTATTGTACAACACATGACACTCGCTCCCTCAATTGTTCTTTCCTGCCCCAGTTATTAATTACAGCCCACTTTTAACAAAGCGACATTGTCTGTGACTAATCATCGACACAGAATGATTAAAGATGTTCTTCGTTTTTTTTGAATTACTCGCTTGGTCCGTGTTCATTCATGAGCAGCACGTCGTCGCCGCCGTCTGTCGTCTCTCTTTTTTTTTTCCCCCCCTTTCTTCTTGGTCAAGAATTTGGTTCGCCGTTATGCGATTACTAGCGTCCTGAGAGGCTTCCACAGGCCCATCCATCAAGACTAAGGGGTTGAGGGAGAGCCTCGACAATGCTGCTGCAGTGATGTGAGGCACGGAGGGATTCATGGTTATTAAAAAGTAACCGTGTTTTTATATTGAAATACAGAAGACATGCCACGCAAAATAACATTACGCTCTCTGATATCATTTGATAAAGGTGACGTTGTATGCCCACCCACCCCTCCCCCCAAATGTTACAGAGGTTTTCTGCCTCTGCAAAAACTTCAAAGGCTTATTATTCCTTTTAAAGATAAAATTCACCTTTTTTTAAAAAGCAAAACTCGAATGCAAAGCCGACCACTGCGGGGGAAAGTTGCCATGCTGAGACGCCCCCTCCTCCTCCTCCTCCTCCTCCTCCACGATACAGCCTGAGTGAAATGTGCTTGACAGAAGAGCGGGAGTGCTGCTGTTTACCACACAACCCCCCCCCACACACACACCTCCCTCCCCCGCCGCCCCACAGTATTACGAGAGCAGCAGCTCCTAAGCCTGGACCTGGCGTCGCCTCGCGCCGCTGTTTGGTGACTGGAGGTATGGGGCGGCGTGTCGCGGGGATCATCACTGGCTCTCTCCCAAGGAGATGAGCAGCAGAGGCCAATTTCATATGCGGGGCTTGGCCCCTGGGTCTGAGTGGAGGTGGGCTGGGTCCACCCAGTATCCTGGCTTCATTAATCATCCCGCCAAGGCTTACTAGCAAACCCCCTCTCTGCCCTCTCCGAGACAACCCCTCGGATTACACATAGCCGGCGAAATGTCAGCCCAAATCTGAGTCTTGATGCAGATAATCATTTCAATAATATTTCTCCATTTGTGCCCCTGATGCCAGGGGAATAAAGCTTTCCCACTGTCAGGTAGCATAAGACTACAGTTGGTGGGAATACTTGACTCTGAGCCAGATGGCTTAGCCATGCTTGCAGCATATGTTCAACAAGCAGCCCTGTGCCAAGCAAGCATTAGGTTTTTATTAATTTGAAGCAGGCAGGAATGCATACGTATATTTAGATGATCCCACCGCTACTCGCCCACCCTCGTCCCCGGCGCTCCCTTTGGAAGTTAACTGAACTCTACTGGTGTCTGCAGCAAGAAAAAGTCGTCATCATGGTTTTTAATAAGCAATAAGAAACCTATAGTTGCAGCATTTCTAATATTACCAGAACGTGTGTATTAGGTAGCGTCGGCGAAATGTTATTACAATCAACATATTTCCTCTTTCCTTATTTTTTTTTCAGATTAGAATAAAGTAACTAATCTAACTAAGATAATTAGAAAGTATATTTATGGCTCTCATACCTGCCATTGTGGCATGGGTTTTTTATTAAATTACCATTTAGATGCATGAATATGTTTGGGTCCAAAAGACAAAAGAAACAGTACTGCATGGGAGGGCAAATTTATTCATTACCACTAAGTTGAACTTCCCTTTAACAGCCCTGTGCTCTGCAATCCTGGGAGTTCTTCTCCCAGTGACTTATGGTAGAGCAGGAGTGCGGGGGGTGGTGGTGGTGGTGGTGGTGGGGGGGTTGGCGCGCCGAAAATGTCAATAGAAATAGTAAGTGTGAGAGGGAAGGCTTGCCTAATTAGTGCCCATTTAGATTTTATGACGGCTCCGAGATCTGCTCTTCCTGACAGAGAGCACTATAGTTGCATATTGTCCTAGCCTGGGGGAACCATAGGAAAATCCAGATTTATTGTACCTATCATACCAGCATATTTCATTTGCCATTATGAGATGCCATTTTGCGATGATGCGAGATTATTTATTACAGATTAAATTGTGGGACCTGGGTGGTTGAGGAACATTTCAAAGTACCATTCCTCTTATTAACTTCTTCATTATCTGCCCCACTATGATCTAAAAGCTCCCTCCTTCCTACCTGCGTTAACAAATACATTACTGATTGGACAATGCCTAACTGTTTTTCTACTCTCTGCATTTGTTTCCTAACATTAGTGCTGGTGCACAACACTACTCATCTGTTTCCCCCACTTAGGGCAGGCTGTGATTTCATTAAGCCTAATTTCACATAGAGATGTTTCTTTCTTCTTCTTCAGGGTTGTTTTGGGTTCAAACCAGCAGCTTTATGCTCAACATAGTATACTGCATTTGATTGACAAACATATTGTGCATATTGTATTTGATGTAAACCTGTAACAGAATAATGTGTCTCTTTAGGTAGACACTGAGTGTCTTACAGTCAAGTCTTGCTCTGCAGTTTCCAGACGCCTGAGCGGTTTCGTATCTTTGTGTATTAAGGAGTGTTTATTTACTGTGTCGCTTAAACCCCAGGATGTTGGCATTTATCCTATTTACACATCAATATTATATCTCCATGAAGGCCTTGAGAGTTGCATTTAAGTCATTGTGCAGGGTGGTATTAAAATGTACTCCATACTGTGAGGGGAGCTCGTCAGGGAATAGCTGGGCCCAGGACACCCATTACCCAGCATAAAAGTGTCAGCCACTTTAATTACATTCATGCCTTCCCCAGTCCTTTTTACTGCAGCGGCAACCAGATTCCACGCACGCATCTCATGCCCTTGTCTCAACCGTTTGGACGGCGCTGGCGGTGAGGAGAGGATCCGACGAGATGTTTTGATTCCCTCTTTCTGTTTGTCCGTCTGGACTCGTGATAAATGACTCGATGGTAGATTTTAGAGGTTAGATATTACAGGTGTTACCGGGCGGTCGCGGTTCCTCAGTCACAGGCTCCTCTTGTCCCTCAAGGTGAATTCGAGTAGCTTTTCTTTGGAATTGTTGATTAAGTTGGCCCACCCTTGCACTAAATATCAGTGCACCCCGCCAAGAGTTATTTTTTTACACAGGACACCCTCACAGAGAAGGAAGGACAGGGGGGAAGGAAAGGGGGGCGGCGGCCAAGGGAGGGTCAAGTTGCACCGGTCAGACCGTTAGCCAGCGCAGAAGAGGCGGTGTCACTTACTGTTTCACGGGGAAGCTCCGTGACCTTCTAGGAGTGAAAGCGAGATCCTCTCTTGTTTATACTCCGCCATGGATCAGTGCGTGGAATATGTCTACATCCTCTCAGCCAATTTCACACAGGGGAGGCGCAGTGTGGGCGGCCGACACAAGCCGTTTCCCCTGGACGATGAGGCCCATCCCTCACGCCCGTCCTCTGCCTGTGACTGGAACTGTGGAGACGGACACAGACAGAGGCACTCTACTGCTCCACTGGGCCACGGAACCATCACCTCCCCGGGGGGGACCCTCGCGTTGGGACCAGCCCGAGGACTCTGGGTCCTCACTTAGGAGACGAGTAGCTCTCTCGGCCAAACAGCACTGAAGTGATTTAAGAGATTTATTACGTTGGTAGCACTTCCAGGATAAGTATTTATTTTTATGTTTTTAAGCGCATTTAAATTTGAATCAAAGCAAAACATTGTTACGCTCTTTCACCAGAGCCTCACCAGTGTTTCTCTTCACACGGAACAAAGGTTAACAAAAAAACATACTTACTGAGCGTCAGCTAAAAAGATCTGTTTTGAAATGACAAGGGAACAAGTCCATCCAAAGGTAATTTATGGGGCTGAATAAGTGGACATAAAGCACTCAGGTGAATTATCAGAGAAGCCATTAATTAACTCTAATGATTTGAAAGGGACAAGCACATTTGCTATAAAAAGTATTTATGATGCACATTAATGTCACGTTTTTCTTAAAACCAAGATTTTCTCGTGTATCACTCATTGAAACAATAAGCACAGAACAATCCTCCAAATCCTTAATTAAAATATAAGGGATTTAGACCGTTGTGGCTCATCCAAATTTTGCATTAACAATCAAAAGGTAATCAAACCTCAGTCAGTGATCCCACTTCAGAACCACACACTGCTCTTGGATGAAGCCTCTTCACTTCATGCCCAATTGATCTAATTACATAAAGGGAATTCTCTCTCCCTCCGTCTCTCTGATATAGCGGCCCCTGTTAGATCCGGCTGCTCAGTTAATTAAGATTTCATTCTCTATCACAGTGGTAGACCTGAGGAGATGATCCAGTCTTTTCCAGAGCTCTCTTTCAACGCTTTGTCTTGTTTTCAGTAAAAGCTCGAGGTCTTATGTTCCCCGTGCTGCTTGCCTCGTAATCAGCGACCCCTGTTTCTCAATTACGGGGTGTGAATTTGGACTCTTTGGTGACCTTCTCCCAGTGATCCTACTACTGACCCTTCAATAAGAGCGCAGCCTTCCCACCACTGTTTTGTGTGTTGCGTTACTTTTTTTTTTTTTTTCATTTCTGGGATCTTTATGAAGAGGGAAATGAAAGGAAGCGGGTCACTCGTGTTGTGTTTCTCACATCTACCCACTTCAGAGGCTCTGAACAGGGGCTCGGTGTTTACTTTGATTCTATGGAAGGCCCACCTTGAGTTCAGGGGTTGGAGGCCAGGAAGCATCCCTCTCTTGTAGGTAATCATATCCAGCTTTGTGCTCCTTGTACCCCGACACTGAGGGTGGCAGCTTAAAGGCTGTCTGCAGCCTCGTTCCACCACCCGACCACACTTTTGATAACCGCGGCAGAAGCGAGCCTCCTCAACTGGCTCTGTGATCCAGGAGGTTTTTCCGCTCGGCTCCGGTGTTGATGTTCAACTCGCCTCCGCATCCAACCACCTTTTTCTTCATGTAGCATACCTCGATTCTAGCACTCCAC